TTWAAWTTYYTTTTTTTTTTTAAGTTGTAGATGGGCACAATACCTTTATTTTATTTAACCCAGTGCTTCCTGCATGCTAGGCAAGTGCTCTACCACTGAGCCACAACCCTGGCCCCCTTGTATATATATTTGAAGCATGACTTATTTCCAAAATAAATAGATTTGGTTTTGATTTCCCCCTGTTTTGTGATAAGAACTAAATTAGAGGACTCATTCTAAATAATTATGAGAATTGCCAGCATTGTCCMTGGCCAGGTAAATCAGTATTTTCTATGAGTGGTGGTGATTATCTTCGTAGTTATGCTTTGACATAGTTGTTTTTTTTTTTTTTTTTTACTTCTTTTTTTACTGATGCTTTGATATATAGTTTTGGGAAATTTATAAAACTGAGATTCATTTCTTGAGCTTTGTAAAGGTCTTATTTTTAAAGCTAGATTAAAGAAATCTTAATTGTCAATGACAGAAATAGAAAATGCAGCCTGGTAGATTGCCAACAAACCCATCAGACTTGAATGGATATTAGATTTAGAAGATGACAGGAATTTAATTTACCAAAAGGCTACCCCTCAATAAATAGTGATAATAAGAAGGGAGTATTTGTTAAATAGTCTGACAGAGCAGAGCTGAGTGGGGAGGGCTAGCCACTCTGATTTTATTCATCTTTGGGCTCCCTAGTTGAGTCAGCACTTATAGGTACAGTAGATCTTAGGAAACGAGTGAATATCTAATCTTGCTTTATAGATGTGTTACCTTCCAAATCATCTGTGACCAAGATGTCCAGAGACCCACAAACTCCCTTACTACAAACCAAATACCGGGCAAGGCCTGTTACCTACAAAAGTGCAGCGGAACAGGAAGCTGAGGAGCTTGAGAAACTGCAGCAGTAAGTCTCACTGGCAGTATCTGAGGAAAGCTTCCAAGGACTGCCTGCTTTCCTCTCAGTTCTTAAAAAATTAAAAAAAAACAAAAACTTTTTTAATACTAGGGATTGAACCCAGGGGTACTTTACAAACACTTAGCTACATCCCTATTCATTTTTATTTTTGAGAAAGCATCTCATTAAATTGCTGAGGATCTCACTAAATTGTGATCCTCCTGCTTTGCCCTCCTGAGTTGCTGGGATTGCAGGCTTGTGCCACTGTACCTGGCTTTCTCTTTGTTCTATAAGAGTGATAGTTGCTGTTTTCTTTTCATGAAACTCTTGTAGGCTCTGTAGGCTGTGTATCTGCCTCTATGATTAAAGTCCTGAAAGTGGGAATATGCAGATGTCCTGATAAAAATCTAATGCATAGGTTGGAATAGGAGAGCTTCGAGCTTCTTACAATTCTAATTAAGAAATGTCCTGTTTGTGGCTACTTAAGAGATTTTTACAATTATTAGTGGAGCAAACTGGCACTTAATAAGGTTAGCATTGGAACTTCTATATATTTGTTTTATTCCTATTTGTGCCTCTTTTGAGGGAGGAGAAACTCCTCTGTGAAGAGAAGTCCAATCTTAAAAGTGGAAATGTTGAGACTGTCTCATTGTTCTATACTTAAAAGTAAAGATAATGACTTTAGAGAGAGAATGGAAATTTTATCATGTATGATTGGTCATCTTAGTGATGATTATTTTTTGTTTTTGCTTCACTTTGTTGTTTGTGTAGTTTATTTATTTGTGGTTRTCATTAAACTCTCACAGATATAAATTCAAAGCACGTGAACTAGATCCCAGAATTCTTGAAGGTGGGCCTATCTTGCCCAAGAAACCACCTGTGAAACCACCCACTCAGCCTGTTGGCTTTGATTTGGAAATTGAGAAAAGAATCCAGGAGCGAGAGCCAAAGAAAAAATCAGAGGATGAATGCTTTGAATTTCATTCCAGACCTTGTCCTACCAAGATCTTGGAAGATGTTGTGGTAAGAACAGTTGAGGCTTTGTGTGCTGGCCGGAGTGTTCTGCCTGTAGCTGAATATCTAACCATTCACAAACGTACTAGTGGGTACTAAGAGCAGGACATTGTATTAGGAGCTGGGAATTTAAAGAGATGAAGCAGAAATAGAATTTGCTGTTAGTACTTAAAGTCCAGTAAAGGAAGCGATATGCACTTAAATGATATAAAATGCGGAAGTGTTCAGAGAGATGACAGTTTAAAGTACTATAAGAATTCAGAGGAGAGAATTTTTTCATTCAGAAGGCTCAGGGAATGCTATGTTTGGTGTGATAGTTAATGCTTGTGCTGTATGCCAGGCACTGCTCTCTGTCCTTCTCATATACAGTCATCCCTCAGTATCCATGGGGGATTGGTTACAGGACCCCCACAGATTCTCAGGTCTGCAGATGCTAAAGTCTCCTATATAGAATAGTGTAGTATTTTCATATAAACCACATGTATCCTATCATTTATTTTTTTGAGACTGGGTCTTACTATGTTGCTTAAGCCCGCCTTGAATTCCTGACTCAAGTGATCTTGCTTCAACCTCCTGAGTGGGTGGAACTAGGGGCACATGCCATCACTCCTAGCTTACTGTTCTCTCTTACTTGCTTTAGAGTCATCATGGTTTTCAGTGAAACTACAAGTATTATACCTTTCATTGGGTACCTAGTTTTGTTTATTCTATTTTCTTAGCACTAAGTCAAAAACAACCTGAGATTATGTTTTCCAGGGCTTACAAGAATTATGTTTATGCTTACAAATGGTTCTATCTCCCATATCCTCTTTTAGTTGAAAGCTTTTTAAATGTGAGACTTCTTTTCTATTTATAGTGCCTTCCCCGCTTTTTTGTTACGAACTCATACACCATAGGCCAAACTCTTATATATAGTGATTAGTCACTAAGAGTTGTGCCTTCTTTGTCATTAACTTCTTAGAAAACAATGTCCTGAATATGACAGGACAAAGGTAGGTTGACTGCACACCTCAGGACCTTAAGCCTGAAGGGCTCAACATGTTTGTTTTATGTACTAGAAAATTGAGACCCAGAAAAGAGAAACTGTATCCTCAAATCTTTCATGACAGTCATCTGGTACCTTGCTTTTAATAGCATCTTTTTTGCTGGGCATGGTGATGTATACCTGTAATCCCAGCAACTCTGAGGCAGGAAGATTTAAATTTTAAGGTCAGCCTCAGAAATTTAATAGACCTTGTTTCTAAACAAACAAATAAATAGGGGCTGGGGATGAAGCTGCAGTGGTAAATGCCCCTGGGTTTAATCCCCAGTATCAGGGGGGAAAAAAAAAAGCATCTTTTTCTCCTCCAAACTCCTGGCTTTTCCTCTCCTGTGTGCTTTGTTCTTTAATTCTCATGCCATGTTCTCAGTTTTTACTTTACCCTGGTTCCTTACATATCAACACTGGTTTTATGTATTTTAAAAAATCAATTCACTTTGTAGCTTCAATGTTTGTATATATGTATGTGTTTGTATATGTTTATTTATTTATTTGTGTACTGGAGGTTGAACCTCGGGGTACTTTACCACTGAGCTACATCCCCCGCCTTTACTTTATTTTTTTTTATTTTTTATTTTTTTTTTAAAGAGAGAGTGAGAGGGGAGAGGGAGAGAGARAGAGAGASAGAGACAGAGACAGAGAATTTTTTTTTTAATATTTATTTTTTAGTTCTCGGCGGACACAACATCTTTGTTGGTATGTGGTGCTGAGGATCGAACCTGGGCCGCACGCATGCCAGGCAAGCGCGCTACCGCTTGAGCCACATCCCCAGCCCCTATTTTTTTATTTTGAGACAGTCTTGCTGAGTTGCTTGCCATCCTCCTGCCTCAACCTCCCAAGTTGCTGGGATTACAGGCATGTGCCACTGCCCCCAACATTTTAAAGTAAATTTAAAGGAAACTTTTAAGCAAATACATAAGTGGAAAACCTACCCCTTTCCCCTTGAATAACATAATAATAGTTAACACTTAATATAAAGCTTACTATATAACAGGATTTTATTCTAAGCTCTTTACTTTGTTTTTACATTTGAAAAAAATATATATAATTTTTTCCTCAGGAAAAATAGGAAATTCCGGAAATACTTCATTTTGCACCTCACATTGATTTGTAGTTGGTCCTAACCCTTTTTGGAATAGTTGCTGAAAATATTGGCTGTTTATCCAGAACCAGGGTGTTCGCCCTGCTGATAGAATGTATGTGGACAACACTAAAAGATTGCATGTTTTTCCCTTAGAGAAGYATAAGACAAACAGAAGTTCTGGGGGAGCCATCTTTCCAAGTAGCCCCTCCCATTTCCATTTTGGAGGATTTGCCTGAACTATGCAGCCAGTTAGCACTTAGACACGTGCCACTTCTCCCTGTAAATCAAAGGCCCCACTGCTCCCCCACCCCTGACTTCCCAAATCATTGGGGCTTCCTAAGCCCTTGCTGTCCTGGACCCAAAATACCAACTAGGATTTGGCCTAAATTTCAGCAGTCCCACCTAGTGAATTGGAAAGTGGGGCTTCTAAACATCAATTTATATCTGTGCCTTATTTCTACAACCAAATTTGGAGAGACAGGCATTTTGGTCACCTTAATTATATTTTAATATTAATTAAAAACTATATAAAGTGCTTTTAGGTTCTTAAAGATAGACATGATATAAATAAATGGTTTATGATCAAGAACAATAAATACATAAGTAAAAATAAGTCTAGCAAGTTGACCTTCTAAGCTCTTTACTTTTATATAATAACTTATTTTCTCACAATCACCCTATGAGATGAACACTGTAGGTACTTGCGTTAGTCCATTTTGCAGTGAGGAAGCAGAGATAAAATAACTAGCCAGTGGCAGAACTAGGATAGATAGTATGGCCCCAGAGTCCTCTTGTCTTAAAATGGAAGATATCTTTTATTTGTTTTTCAGACCCCCCCTCCCCCACCATGYTATGGATCAAACCCAGAGTCTCATACATACTAGGCAAGTGCTGTACCACTGAGCTACACCCCAAGCCAGATGATATCTTTTAAAACAGAAAATTCTTAGGACATATGTGATTATTTAACAAAAATGTTTGCATCCCACCTACAGTCTGTATCACCAGTTGTACCTGAAATCCATTTTTGAAAATTCTGATTAGGAAATTATTGTAAGTTTGTTGTGCTCTGGAGAAGCTAAGACAGAGTGGTAAGCGGGGAAGCATGACTAAAGCTCATTAAATGTTGATTGCAGTTGCAGTCTGAGAGTAGCACTGTTCCAGGTTATGTCTTTTGAGAATTCTAAACAAAAAGATCTGTGAAGCAGTAGGTAAGTCAATAAGGTGGCACTGAATTAATGTGTGCTGAAGGAAAATGTTCACCAAATTCATCTGGTTCTCAGAATCCCTCTGGGGCTTTTATTACAGAAACAGATTCCTGGGCCCCAGCCCTGGAGTTTTGATTTGTTGTATGCAGTGTGGAGGCAGCACAGGTGACAAGCTGTGTGCCTGACTCGCAGTAAGCAGTCAGGTGTTAATAGTAATAGCTGTCATTTTATTGAGTGCTTATATTGTCCCGAGTGCTTAATGTAGATTATCTTATTTATTTCTTGTAATAGCTTTAAGAAGTGGACTTTTTATCTCTATTTTTAAAGTGATAAAACAGTAAGAGGGGTCTAGTAAGCAGAACCAGGATTTAATTTCATTTCAAGTCTTTGTTTCTAGAGAATCAAAGCATAGAAGGAGATGTATTTTTCTTCTATCCTCTTTATTTTTTCAGAAAGGGAGGCTTTCAAAGGGCAATGCACTCAGAGAAACATTTTAAAAAGCTGGTGGCAGAATTGAGATTAACTCTCTTAACTTCTGGTCTTGGACTTAGAACAGAAYTGAAGAAATCTGCCTCTCAGAGCCTGATTTAGCATGTCTGCCTGCTGCTGTCATGCCCCATCCATGTGCCCCTAGTGCTGAAGTCCTATTTCCATGTGTCCTTAACACTGCTTCTTGTGCTTTCCACTTGTGGTTGAAGGTGGCAAGAGGACAACAGGACTGATGAGAGATGGGCTTGAGCAGCAGTGGGCCTGAGGCAGAGATGAAGAAAGGGCTCTTGGGGCAGAGGCAGAGTGATGAAAGCCTTGCGCATGAGGGTGTGAAATGGGAACTTGGTGCCTGTATCTAATGGGGGGCTGGGGCTCCTGAGGTACATGTGGTATCAGTGAGGCCAGTGAATAATTTTAGCAGAGATATTTTAGGGATGACTTAGGGAAAGACTAGCAGGGTTTTTTTTTTTTTTTTTTCTTTCTTTGTGTACTCCTTGGGATAACGTTGCTTTATAGTAATTTCCTAACTGCTCTGGGACAGGCTTGAGACTTATTCCAGGGCAATTGGGGGCATTTCCTGCATTTCAAGTGTTCAGCCCCAACTCCTTCCTTGCTGTTTTTCCTAAATGTGTCATCTGTCCACCCACATTGCCCATTTCTAACCGCACATCACCTCTTAAGAGATACCTTCCTCAAACTTCCCATTGAGGGAATGTGTTTCCCTAGTAGCCTTTAGCCCCATATTCTGCTGGGTTTCTTTAGAACATTTGTGAAAATTAGAAAATATTCACTTTATGACTTTTTTTTTTTTTTTTTTTTTGGTATTGGGGATTTAACCAAGGGGCGCATAACCACTGAGCCACGTTCCAGTCATTTTTTTGTTTTTTACTTTTTTATTTTGAGACAGGGTCTCACTAAATTGCTTAGGCCTTGCTAAATTACTGAGGCTGGCTTTGAACTTGGGATCGTCCTACCTCAGCCACCCAAGTTGCTGGGATTACAGATGTCTGTCACCCAGCCTGGCTAATTTATTACTTATTGATTGTGTTTTTTCCATTAAAGTGTGAAACCCTTGAGAACAAGGACCATCAGTAACTCCTACAAATACAGGATAACCAGATGTGTACAGTACAAGCTGAMATGGACCGGCCTATGTATCTATAGATACTGGGAATTCAAAGACATGACCTTCTTGTTCTTAAAGCTTGCACAAACTGGTAGAGTGGACTAACATGTAAACAAATACGCAGAGTAATAGTAATCAACATATGTTCAGTTACTACCAGGTCTTCTTGTAAGTGCAAAGGAATGAAAATGGCAATATCCTAGTCCTCAAGGAGCTTATGATTTAAACTTAAAATAACAAGAAATCTTCATTTTTTTTTCTGGAAGTCTAATTTCCTTTTATTTCAAATCAAGTCTCCAGTTGGTTTTTATTGTAGTAGAGAAGGGGTGTGGGTGGATAGTTGCTACAAAGATCATTTTCTTAGCCATGTCCTCCCCCCCAACTAGTGAGGATTGATCTCACTCATAATGTCTCTGTCATGGCCTACGTATTAGAGATTTCCATTGCTCCTCTTTTAAAATGTAGATCTCTACTGGTTGGATTAGAGGGAGGAAACAGGAAAGGGGGGATTATTTTAGAACTAAAGGAGTCCTTGGATATTTATTTTAATTAAATTATTTTATGAACCCCCTCGCCCTGCTCCTCTCCAGGCCTAGAAGGCTATCTGATGTGCCTGGTTTTATAGGCTGGAAGCAGAACTGGGCCTGGGCTCATTGTTCTTTCTACTTCCACATGCCCTTGGTGCATTCAGTCAAGATGTGCTCATGTCCACCTGTGCTGGCTATTGTAGCAGCAGGTTTTGTTGTATGTAAATTATTTCTTGGATTCTTGCCACTCATTACAAGATTGCTGAACTGGATTTCACTATGCTAGTGATAGCACTCTTTAGAAAACACAAGAAATTTCATAGCAGAGTGAGCATTCCTTCACAGTGGTCACCTAAAGGGTTTATAAATCTGTTCTAATCTAAAGGTGTTTAGAACTAGAAGAAAGAATTTTTTTTTTTTAAATAAAAACCTCTGAGTAGCCCAAGATAATAGAGGCAGAAATAATTTTGTTAAATGAAAGATAAAAGATTGAGCAACTGTCTGSCATGGTCCAAAAAGTGGCTTTCAAAACCACTCCAAGAAAGACATTCCAAACATGTTTTGAGCAGGTGCAGCATTGTTGGGATTAAGGAGAAGTCTCCCAAGGTATCTTCATAGAGTCCAACATTCAAATTCTCATGCATTCATYCTTAGAGCATTCATTTAACATTTACTGAATGCCTTATCCTTGCCAAGGTCTGTGTTAGATGCTAGGGGTTGATGGAATAAAATAGTCCCTACCCTTGAAAGCACTTATAGTCTAGCTGAGGCGGATGAACATCTAAACAAATAAGTGCAGTGAAGTTTTGTAGGTATAGTCATCTCTCCTTGTTCCTCTGCAGATTCAACCAAATATGATTGGAAAATATTGGGGGGGAAATTTCATTTGTACTAAACATGTACAGACTTTGTTTTCTTGTCATTATTCCCTAAACAATTCAGACTAACAACTTTCCGTAGCATTTACATTATATTAGGTATTATAAGTAACTAGAGAAAAACTGTACAGGAAAGAATAAGTTTTATGCAAATATACACCATTTTTATACAGGATTTGAGCATCTGTGGATTTTGGGGGCGGTGTTTACTTCTACAGGTTCTAGGAGCAGAGATCTGTTGTCATGATACATAAACTTCTCTTTAAGAAAGTGATTTAATCTTTCATAGTGGAGGTTGTTGCAGGATGTTTAACTGAGTTATGTGTTCCTTCCAGGGTGTTCCTGAAAAGAAGGTACTTCCAATCACTGTCCCCAAGTCACCAGCTTTCGCATTGAAAAACAGAATTCGAATACCCACCAAAGAGGAAGAGGTAATTCCCTGGAAGTAGGGGGATTCTTTTTCCTTCTGCATAGTCAATCTAAGCCTTACCATTTTTTTTAATAGATCTTTATTTTATTTATTTATGAGGTACTAAGGATCGAACCCAGTGCCTCACACATGCAAGGCAAGCGCTCTACCACTGAGCCACAACCCCAGCCCCTAAGCCTTACCATTTCTTAAACCTAAAAGAGATATAACACAACTACTTTTGTCCGAAGTTGTCTTTAAATATGGTATTAACATTTGATCATCTTTTTGACTCATCCAAGAGTAAAGTAGTTGGTAAGGTATGAATCTTCTGTCACTGATAATAGGTTACAGTTTATGGAAACTGTAGGGAAGAATTAGGTATTGGAGGCTTGTCTGTTTCTATAGTTTTGAAGTCAGTTAGTCTTTATAAAGTGGATCAAAAATTGCCAACCTCTGCATTTTATTTGTCTTGAGTTATAGTCATTATTCAGTGAGGGACTTTTAAATTCATACTAAATAGTCATATCGGCCTTGCAGTTACATCCACCTCCTCCTATCTCTGTTAACCCAGGGGTCACAAAGGTGACTATTTAGTGATGTTTCATGGATTTGTAATATATAAACTGTCATTGATCATACTAGTATCTTATTACATCTCCCATTTATCTATAAATATCCAGAGTTAGGGTAATTTTATAGCAGATCTCAAGCATAAGCCTTTTTATAGTTCATTTGAAACTAAAATACACAGTTATCTTATGTTACCAGCTTGAACCCAAACAACTTACTGGTCCTATTCTGGGTTTGGCAACCCAGTCACATTAACTCCAGTCACATGTTTTATTGTAGTCTGGAGGCTGGGTCAAAGAAGAGGCTAAGGTATATACCTGGTTAATGTATTTCTTATCTTCATTTTATTTACACTGTCTGACCTCATTTAATTTTTATAACATTCCTGTGAAAAACTTCAGATTTATAAAAAAGAAAGAAAGGAAAGAAAAGAAATAGGAAGCTAAAACATCTAAGGTTGAGGGACTTGCCTTCATTAATGGCTTACCCCTACAGTATCTTCTGACTGCATGCTGAGGAGATAGGAGAGAATGAGGAGTCTTGTTTCTAAACTGCAGTTTCTCTTAGGAAGAGGATGAACAGGCAGTAATAAGAGCTCAACCTGTGCCACATTATGGGGTGCCYTTTAAGCCCCAAATCCCAGAGGCAAGAACTGTGGAAATGTGCCCTTTCTCCTTTGATTCTCGGGACAAAGAACGACAGTTGCAGAAGGAGAAGAAAATAAAAGAACTGCAGAAAGGGGAGGTAGGTGTTTCCTTTTCTGCAAGTAGGATACTGCTTTTCTTTGAGCCCTCAAATATAACCTCTTATGTAGTACTTTTAACTGTAAAATCACTACTTTCCTTTGATCCCTCTTAAGAATTTTATGAAATAAAACAGGGCAAATGATTTTAAGTAATCCTTTTTTTTCAATATTTATATTAAATGCCTTTATTTAACATAATGCCTTTATTTTTATGTGGTGCTGAGGATGGAACCCAGGTCCTGCTCATGCTAGGCGAGCGCTCTACCACTGAGCCACAATCCCAGCCCCTTAAGTAATCCTTTTGGCAGAAGGAGGTTAAGTGACTTCCTCCTAGTTATTGGGAGCATACTGCCAGTTATTGGCAATATTGGGAGGAAAACCTAGATTTCCTTTTGGGTTCATTACTCTTCTCTAAAAGACCATGTGCTGTTTTGAAAACTGGCTGGCCATCCAAACTTTTCAGGTTCTTCCACATATTTTGGAGGAGCTCTTGCCTTCTAACCGAAGAAGTCTTCATCTTAAATTTCATGTTTCTTTTGCATTAGGTGCCCAAGTTTAAGGCCCTTCCTGTGCCTCATTTTGACACCGTTAGCCTGCCAGAAAAGAAGGTGAAGAATGTGACCCAGATTGAGCCTTTCTGCTTGGAGACTGACAAAAGAGGTGCTGTTAAGGCACAGATATGGAAGCACCAGGTGGGAGCCTGGGGAGAGCAGCCAAAATGTTGGTTGGTTGATTGGTGGTTGGTTGGCTGTTTGGTTGGTTTGACTGGCAGACCAACTATACTGAAAATCATCTGGGAAAACATACTTGATTATTTCGGTGTACTCTGTCTAAATCAAGGTTCAGCACCTTTTCTGAAAAGGACCAGATAATAATTATTTTAGGTTTTATGGGTTAGAAGAGCCTCTACCACATACTGTGTGCCTGTGTTTTCAATCCTTTGAAAAATGTAAAAAACATTCTTAGCTCAAGGGCTGAATCAAAACCATTTGCAAGCTGGATTTGGCCTTTAGGCTGAAGTTTTCTGACCCCTGATTTAAGTGATCATCTTGGGAATGTGAGAACTCAGGCTTCTTTTGAGCTTGAGTCTGAGAGCTCCATCTGTTAGACTCATTCATTAAGTATTCACTCTGTTCTATTGACTGCTTTGGTAAGAAACAGAATGCAAGAAAAAGTTCTCAATATGATATGCATGGTGTGTGATAAACTTGCTCTTTATAGATAACAAAATAATTAAAAGCAATTGATTGGTTATTGGCTTGTTTAATTAGGATGTATTTCTACCCAGTTGAAAACATTTTTAAAAATTTTTGTGTTCGTTAGTATTTTATGCCGTCACTTATCCTGGACTCTGCCCCAAAGGAGCTCTAGGCTAGTCATTATTTGTAGGAATCACTCCTCTTGAAGCCCAAGAGATCTGATTTCCCTGTGACCGAGTGCAGGCCACCTTTTGGCGTTGTTTTGTAGAAAACCTAAGGACTGCTGCTTTGGCAATAGTAGTAACTCTCCCTTTCTTAAGGACCAAGACATAGGATGTCTTGTGGGGCATTTTCAGTTTCTCAAATACTTAACAAAAGTAAAGTGATAATGATATAATAAACTTTCATGAACCTAACACCTTCTGTAATGATTAAAACATGGAAAATCTTATTTCACCTGTACTTCTACCACTTACTCCTCCATTGTATACGTTACCTACACAACATTACTTTGAACTGAATCTCTATTCATCAAAAATACTTGAGCTTGTATTTAAAATATAAAGACTGGGTTAAGGGTGTAAGTTTATTTGTATAGAGTATTTGCCTAACATGTGCAAACCCCTGGATTTGATATCCAGCATCACACAAAAAAATAAAGACTTACTTAAAACAAACACAATAATATAAAAAAAGATTAACAGTGATTCCTATATAGAGACAAATAGTCAATATTCAAATATCCTTAAATTTTTCATAATTGAAACAGTTGACTTGTTCAAATCAAGATCAAAATAAGGTCCACATTACGTATTTGTTTGATAAATCTCCCTCCTTTTTTTAGAGAGAGAGAGAGAGAATTTTTTTAGTATTTATTTTTTAGTTTTTCGGTGGACACATCTTTATTTTATTTTTATGTGGTGCTGAGGATCTAACCCAGTGCCCCGCGCATGCTAGGCGAGCACGCTACCACTTGAGCCACATCCCCAGCCCTTGTTTGATAAATCTCTAAGTCTCAATCGGTGAACTTGTCTCTTTGTATTTTATTTGTTGAGTGAACTAGATTGTGTAGATTTTTCCACAATCTGGATTTTGCTCAAATATTTCATTTAAAGTATTTTTCTGTTTCCTATAGATCTAGAGGCTTGATTAATTCTGGTTAGGGTTTTCTTTTTTTTTTTTCCGTGTGTGTGTGTGTGTGTGTGTGTGTGTATGTGGTGCTGGGGATTGAATTGGGGCTTTGCACATATATACTAGGCATGTGCTTTATTGCTGAGTCACATCCCCAGGCCAGGAGAATGTTTTATAGTGCTATTACATGGTATCTAATGAATCACATCGGAAGTCATATAATATCTAGTTTTTTAGAGTTTTTGTGATGTTAAAATAGGCCTTAAAAATATCTTAAAGATATTTTTTAGTTCTCTGAGTGGACTCTAGATTCTGGGTGGTGGGAGAAGGTAACTAGAGGTTAGATCACATCATCTTCTATCTGGAATGCCAAAGCAGTTCAGAAACACTAGATCTTGAGTTAACGTGGTGGTCATGGAAGTTGCCTGTCTGATAGTCTTTCTTCCTAATAGCTGGAGGAAGAACTGAAACAACAGAAAGAAGCAGCTTGCTTCAAGGCTCGTCCAAATACCATCACCTCCCAGGAGCCCTTTGTTCCCAAGAAAGAGAAAAAATCAGTTGCTGGTAGTATTCTATGAACTTTTGGGGGTCTGGGGCAGAATTATAAGATTTCCTGGGGGAAGTGGGACTCAGTTGTATCAGACAATACTTGGTTCACCCAGAGTGTTGGGTTTTAGAGGATGGTGGTTTTTCTTCCCTTAGACCCAGTCTTTTGCCTCTGTTGAATCCAGTACCTTGTTGAGTTTCAGAATGTGCTGGGGACAGATTGGTATAACATGAGCCTTGGTGGAAACCGCTGGCCTTTTAGTAAGTTACAGGCTCTCCCTACCAAAGAGTAGCAAGTAAATGAGAAAGGGAGGCCAGGGTGTCCTTCTGGAGTTCTAGGTGAAGCCGAGCCTTAGGTACAGAATGTTTGATTTCTTAAGCACTAGGTGGTGTGTTAGAAAATTGGGATTCTTCTACCACCATCTTAAAATCACTATATAGTTTTGAGTTTACTTCACCCTTGTGGGTCTTGTTTTTATTCCATTTACACTAGATGATTTCCAGGGGCTCTTACAACTCTTAAAATTCTAAGACTTTTATGTGGTTTACTCTGCCTTTCTTTTAGCAGGGCTTCCTTAGAGTCTCTGCTACTTGGCTCAATCCTGGGGGGCTGGGTTCATGCAAATACTTCTTATGCACCAATATTCTTTCTGTTTCTGTACTCAGAGGGCCTTTCTGGTTCTCTAGTTCAGGAACCTTTTCAGCTGGCCACTGAGAAGAGAGCCAAGGAGCGGCAGGAGCTGGAAAAGAGAATGGCTGAGGTAGAAGCCCAGAAAATCCAGCAGCTGGAGGAGGCCAGGCAACAGGAAGAAGAGCAGAGGAAGGAGGAGCTGGCCAGGCTACGGAAAGAATTGGTAACTGGGTAGCATGAGTACTGACTAACCCAAGGTTGTCTCTGTTTTATTTTACCTTGATTTCTTAAGCACTAGGTGGTGCTTTAGAACATTTGTTCTAAACAGGATCTACAGTGGCCTGCAAGGCTATCTCAAAGACAAGTAAAAAAAAGAGAAATCATCCAGACTCAGGGTGGGGTGAGGAGGTTGAGGTGTGAATGAGACAAAAGATGTRTACATTGTAGTCTAAATATGAGCCACAATTTTGGCCCTTTTTAGGAACCAACCTGTTAATTATGAAACTAATAYAAAACCAATTTTTTTWAAATATAAAAATATATTAAAAATATTTATAAAAATATATATATTCAATATATTTGAATATTGAATATATTAAAAAATATATTTATTTTWAAAAAGCAAAAACATTTATCCTTCATATAGTAGTTAGACAGAATTTCTTCCAGGGAGCTTCATGAAGAAGACATCATAGATATAGTCATACACAGTGATGTATTTCCTAGGATTCTTTTTTGTTTACTTTTTAATTTATTTTATTATTCTGTGCTTAACAAGAAACAATACATTTTACAATTAGACCAGAATACTTAGGGAAGGATGTGGAAACTGTGTAGCAACTATGTATTTTTCTTTCCTCTTAATATTTGGCTCAGACTTTTTGAAGTTACAGTGTTTGTTGGTCTAGGTAATCCTCATGGTGTAGGTAATCGCACAGCATAATGATTTAGATATTCATTATCTTCCCCACCAAAAAATCATAATTTACCTTAAGGATCCCATTGTCAGCCAGACCCAGTGGTACATTTCTGTAATCCCAGCTACTCTGGAGGCTGAGGCAGAGGATTGCAAATTCAAGGCCAGCCAGGGCAACTCAATAAGACTGTCTCAAAGATTTTTTTAAAAAGCGTTGGTGGTGTAGTTTAGTCGCAGAGTCTTTACTGTGGCATGAGTGAGGCCCTGGGTACAGTCCCCATCCAGTATCCCCAAAACAAACCAAGTGCAAGTCTAAATGTTGAAATAGATACCCATAGGTGACTATGCCCACGGGAAGGCTCTAAGAACAACTTCAAGAGACCATAGCCTCGTGGGACATCCAAATTACTATTTGCTGATTGAATGAGAAAACAAGTTCTCAGTCCCAATGCACTCATAAAATCACCCTCAACTTCTTTGATTTTCTTCAATACTTGGTACCTGCATCTTGTCCCCACTACAGAACTGTTTCTTACAGCAGTTCTCAAAATAGGCTGAAGACACAGTTAGCGCCAGTTCTCTCTCTGCTAATCTGGCTTGAATCAGGCTTGATTGTAGAATATCCAAAAGAATGGATGGGACCATGTCCTTTACAGTGGCCCTTTCTGATTATTGTTGTTTTCTTTACTTTTTATATTTTGTTTTGGTCCATTTTGGTGAATATGAGTAAGTAAGCCTAAAATTATAGCAAATTTCTAATTTGTGACTCTTTTTTTCTGTTGCAGTTGAGTGTAGCCCCATAACAACGTGTAGATCATACTGGAGATATATTTGACATTGTTAGTGAAAGCAAGGGAACCCAAGAAAGACCTGTAGAAGCTCCAAAGCTCATATGCTTTTCCATTTTACTGTGTTGCCACCTGTGCCTTTAAATTCATGACTGGGATCTATAGGACTGTACAAACATTTTTTCTAAAAGGAAAAATAAAAACAACTGTGAGCATAGTTCTCTGACATTTCTCTCAGTGGTAACTTATTTTCTCTTCTCTGCAGGTGCACAAGGCAAATCCAATACGCAAGTACCAGGCTGTGGAGGTAAAGTCAAGTGACCAGCCTCTGACAGTGCCTGTATCTCCTAAGTTCTCCACTCGATTCCACTGCTGAACTCTGCTGTGAGCTGCAGATGCTGCTTGGAACAGGAGCTGCTCCTTATATCACACCAGGCATGGACCTACTACCCATGCCTAGAAGAGCATACCTGACAACGGTGGACTCCAGTTTTGTTGAGAATTGTTCTCATTCATTTTTGAGGCTAACATTGAGACGTGGTTCATCTGTGTCTCCATCATACTCCTTGTAGTTATTTCCTTTAAACCATCAGTTGACCTTTAATATTGGACTTAACTCTGACTAGGATTTTAGGTGTCTGTGTCAGCACAGTGCAATTTCTATTTCTCTTTATCCCCTTCCTTTTTATATAAATATRTGTGTGTGTGTGTGTATGTGTGTGTTTTAATCAGAAAATAAAGTAGTTAAATCCTCAGATAGGGTTTAAGTCATGGTTTAAATGAGGAATAATTTATACCAGATTTTTTTTCATCTCTGCATGAATATGAATTTATAGTTCAGGAGTCCTGCACCAGTGAGCAGGTAGAACAACACATGGATTCATAGGGAACCACATGGCACCATTTGCAAGCTTCTAGCAGAGCTGCTATAGGCATAGTCTCTCTCATCAGTGCTGATTATAACAGGGAATGGTGCCGCATGCATTTTAAGACCTAGCCTAGCATATTATGTTTTGTTCTACCCTTCCTGATTTTGTTATTTAATGTTAAGTCTGTCAGGTCCCTTTAGAGGTCAAATCTTACTGAGGAATGGGTAATTGGAGAGGTGGGTCCAGGAACTTTTAAGAACATAGGCTCTGTGCTTAAAGGAAAATGCTTTGTAACTTTTCTGTCTTAATGTCAGAATATCCTCCACATTTTGCTACCTCCCTCCCAGTAATCACCCAGTCATGTGTGTTATGCCTTTGCATAGACTGAGCCTTTTTCCCTAAATGAGCTGCTTCTCCTCTTGTAAATTCCTCCTTTTAAGACTTAGCTCAAGTAAAATCTTTTAGAAATTTTTTGTTAACCATCTGGCCTTCTCAGATAAGGAGGGTCCTTCTTTCTTAGTGTCTCCAAAATGTTTCTTGTATAAAATCTCTCTAAGAGAGCAATTATATTACATCTGAGTTATTATTGTTCACAAACTATTATAATAGAGGTGTCAGTTCCTTGAACTCTCTGTGTGTGCGCTGCTGGGGATAGAACCCAGGGCCTCACACGTGTTAGGCCCTCCTCTACCGCTGAACCACATCCCCAGCCCCATCTCTCCATTTCCGTGTTTTTTGTGGCTTTCACAGAGTTGGCTTGGGTCTGTGTTAAATAATACATTTTCTTTCAGATTTCATTTATTTTTGAGCATCTACTCTGTCAATTATCTTCCGCACCATTAGATATAGAAACATTAGTGTTCTGTGTAGGCCAGTTCTCAGCACTTTGTGATATTAGCCCTATTTTATATTCATCATTTTATTCTCTCAGTGAACTTTTGTAAACCTATTGTGCAGGCCATTGTAGATTCAGCAGTGGGTGACTGAACAAGATAGTGTTTTTCACAGTGTGATTTGCAGGTTTCTCATCCTCCTGAATATCCACAAACTGRTACAAAATGCAATTCCTGGATTCATTTCCTAGAAGTATGCAGTATACAGTTGCATGACTACTTAGTCCATTTAACAAATATTGGGTGCTATATACCGTGGCATTGAATACAGCAATGAGCAAAAACAAAGACCTTGCCTACATGGAGCTTACATTTTAAATGGGAGGGAGAGAGTAAGGGAATAACGGGGTCCTTCTGTCTGGTGAGAGGTGTTCCCATTCTGCTATGTGAGAATAAACTGGGGTGGCGAGGGGAGCATGGGAGGTTGTAACTGAGAGAGTGAGAGCTGGTGATCGCGGTGGAGATGGTAAGAAATGGTTGGATTCTTTATTTTTTTTTATTCTAATGAGTTACACATGACAGTAGAAAGCTCTTCAGAAATGGTTGGATCTTGGATGCATTTTGAGGTTGTAACTGCTGAGTGTTGCTAACAGACTGGATGTGGAGAATGAGAAGGGAGTTAAGGAGAGCATGCAGGTATCAGCCCAAAGGCAGCTCCTCCATCCCTTGAACTGTGAGAAATCTGGTTCTACCTTAGTCCTTATATTTGGGGGTGGGGGCGGGGGATTCTCAGAGCTTTCTTTTTTCCTGGCACCTCTGTCGTTTCTTCACTTGAGAAACCATCTCTTGATYCCTTTTCTGGGTCCATCCTATCCTGACTTTTTTTCTCTACTTGTAACTGCAGTTCTCCTATAACCATTCACTGTCATTCATGTATTTCCATCTGATATTTTATTCATATAAAATCATTTTTTGATTTTGATTGTTTCAGGTGTAACAATAAATCCAGCCCTCAAGTTGAGAGTTTTGGGAAAAGTGTTATTGAGAATGATTAACTTAAGGGATCCTTCTACCCCATTTGCTTCATTCTATATTATCTCCTGCACAGTCACATCAGAGTGGTAACTACGTAGAGCCAGAGGGGTGGACAGACTACAGTTGCTCCAATGTTTTAACAGAAAGGAGACCCGGACAGGTACTTATAACACAGATGGCATGTGCTTCAGTAACTGAGTGATGTGGGAACTAAGGGACTCTCATTGGAAGCAAGGTTGCTTTTCATAAAATGTTTTCTCTTTTTTGGTACCAGGGATTGAACTCAGGAGCACTCGATCACTGAGCTACATCCCCAACCCTATTCTGTATTTTATTTAGAGACAGGGTATCACCGAGTTGATTAACACCTCRCTTTTGCTGAGGCTTGCAATCCTCCTGCCTCAGCCTCCTGAGCCGCTGGGATTACAGGAGTGCACCACCACAACCAGCTTGGTTTTCTTTTTTTAAAATAAATATTACAAAAGTAGTACTGCCTCTTGGAAACACACCAGTAGACATAAAATAAAACCTGCAAGTCTCCTTTCTTCACCTACTCCCATCCTCTGGAAGTAACCCCTTGTTCACAGTTCTGTATTCAAGAWTGTTTACATGCACACACATTTATAGAGAATTTCCCCTGCCTTGAGAAAAATAAGATTATAGCTAGGTATGTGTACATCCATAACTCCAGCAACTCTGGAAGCTGAGGCAGAATGATTACAAGTTTGAGTTCAGCCTGGGCAAGTTAGTAAGACCCTGTCTCAAAAAAAAAYGGCTGGGGATGGAGCTCAGTGATTGAATACTCCTGGAGTTAGTCTCCAAGRGGGTTGGGGTGGGGAGAATTATAGCCTTCTGCATTAAAATGTTTTAAAATTTGGTTCTTAGAAAGGTTCTGTACATTCACATGATTGAAAATTTAGAAGATATAAAGCAGGGGCTGAGGCTGTAGCTCAGTGGCAGAGCACTTGCCTGGATGTGTGAGGCATTGGATTCTAACCTTACCACCACATAAAAATAAAGGCATACTGTCCATCTATAGATAAGAAGAAGAAGCCAAAGCCTTTTCTCCCAGTTGTTCAATTGCCGTTCCCAGAGATAGTTGTCATGTCCTTGCGTTCTCTTGCAGTTTCTACATATATGTGTTCCTACCTCCCCTGCTTTTATTACTATATGCAAATAGTGTTATACTCTATTCTTTACCTTTTTTCAACTTGTGATGTATCTGAATGATGTAGTTCAGGTGCTACCTCAAGCTTGTACCTGCCTCCTTACTGAAGTGTGAAGCCTCTTATGTGAACCTAGTGACATGGAGGCAGACCTCTGCATGATGTGCTGGGCTAGAGACTTGCAGCCCTAATGACTCAAGGGTAGGTTAGCAACCCCTCTTGGCTTAGTTGAGCTGTGGGCATTTGCTTATTTTGAGTATCTGGTTGAACCTGGGATCCTGTTAGATCCTGATGTCATTTTCTTTTCAGTTCCCTTGAAGAAAGCCATCTCAAGAGTATCTTGTCTGCTGGGGAACTTCCTCATTGCTGAGAGTGGCAGTTAAAAAAGCTGTTAGTCATGTGGCCAGGCTCTTATTTCTGCACAGGCAGGCTGAGTTTCAGCATGGTGTGGATCCAGGTAGGAATTGGTCATCATTCTGAATCTTGAGTTGCCGTCTGCCTTGCAGCCTGCTGGGATGCTCAGTTTAGACAACATATAAAGTTTCCTGGAGATGGGACAAACCCAGGCCTATGGAAAGAGCAGGAAGGTTAAAGTGTGTGGTACTTTTCAGCAGTGACGAAGGCGTAACCAGGGAGCCGACATGTTTGCTCTGATGCCAAGAATTCCAGGACAATTTGTTATCCAGTTAAAGCCAGCGCAGTTGCTACAAAGAAGCCTGCGGCCAGCCCGTCTCCCCTCATTTCCTTTGCCTTCTTGCCTACCTACTCTTTTCTAGCTCTGTGGAGAAGGCTGTCGACATTGGAAATGTCTGCTTGTTTTTATCATTCTCTTGTAAGAGAATAAAGGGCTGGGCTTAGGCCAAACCATGGCTCTTTTGTGCTGAAGGCATCAGCTTCCTGAAAGGCTTCATAAATGCCGACTTTTCTCACAGAAATGTAGTTGAAGAGTCAGGTTAATCTGCTTAAGGAAATGCTAGAAAGAATGATTTTGCAGACAGCCTGTTCTGAAGACATCAATTGCCCTTCTCCCTTAAAATGTTTTTAATAAATTTTAATAAAATCTGGCCTCTCTGATCTACAGAGGCCTATGTAGTTATGGGGCTGCTGACCTGCGACATTATAGGCAGGTGTGTGAATGTGTCTTGGCCATGTGCTGCTGCCCAACTTGTTTTTGTGATGATTGTTATCTCCGGCCTTCTCTCAGGAGCAAAGAGTGGGAGAAATAGATTTCAGTGGGTCAGAATACTTAATAGTGGTCATTAACTTCTAGAAATGTAGTTCGGGGCCCATTGTTTAAACTTCCCTGGTGCCAAGTTGAGATGAGGAGTCTGTTCTTCTGTCACAGGCACGCATGCATTACACAGATGGCCTGGTGTTTGATGTAAAACTTGTGTTTGTATGCATTGTGTGTCTCTTCTGCACACACACACACACACACACACACACACACACGTATTTGTGTACTGCATTCTTTCACTCAGTACCACATTTTTCCTGTATTATTGCATACTTTGTAAATGCCAATTTTAATAACAGCCTACTGTTCTGTTCTGAGTTTACTTCTCCCCTGTGAAGATGTTTGTTTTGCAAAGGATTGTTCTGGGTCCTATTTATAGGGCAGAGTTGTCTGTATTTGCATCCCCCTGATGTGTCATGTCTGTATCTAAACTTTAAATGGCTGTGTTCTAACCATTACCAGTTCAGCTTTGTAATTAAAATATATGCTCAAAAGGAAATACAAACCCCTCCCTAAAGTATAGTCAATGACATTATTCTGGCATATGCTCTTGCAAAATGGAGAGTTCCTTCTGGCTGATGTGATGTCAGCATTACTGGCACCTGTGCCCAGTGAAAAAATACATTGGCACTTAGCAAAACCTTTCTGGAGAAAATTGTAGTTCTGTTATTTTAAAGTCTTCCAAGTCTACATTTTCAAATAGGCTCACCCAGTGGATTTGTGATCTCTGAACCTTCACGTCCAATTTTTTTGGGGGGTGCTGGGGACCGAATTCAGGGCCTCATCCTTGCTAGGCAAACTCTACTACTGAGCCATATCCCTGGCCCTCCAGGTCAGATTTGAAAGGAGAAAGGATGTTGTCTCACTTACTCTAGCTGGGCTTGTATGTGCCTTGGGAAGAGCAAGGGTGGGGCTGGTATGGTGATGCAGGCCTATAATCCCAGTCAGTCTTAGGCTGAAGCAGGAGGATCACAAGTTTGGGGCCAGCCTAAGTCACTTGGGAAGACTATGTCTTAAAATTAAAAAAAAAAAAAAAAAAAAAAAAAGCGCTGGGGATGTAGCTCAGTGGTAGAGCATCCTTGGGTTCAATCCCCAGTGTTGCCAAAAAAAACAGAAAAGTGAGGGTGGGAGTCTACAATCTCACATGTCACTGACAGGCTGGGTAAACTTGAACAAGTTATCCCCCTTTCCTGGGCCTCAGTTTCCACATCTGTCAAGCAAGATTGAATCAGAACAATTAATAAAGCTCTTTTCATCTTCCATTTTTTTCTAGGCAATTTGTTTAAATCCCACCAGCCCTACTTTCATATTTACATTTCATCTATAGCCAGCTGCTTGATCCCTGCAAGAGGGCACCTCTAGCAAGTTCTGCCCCTTCTTTCCCATGTGAACTTCAACCAAATATGTTGGAAACCAGTGTGCTATCTTGTTGAGGACTTTCCAAGGGTTGTTCTGGAAGCGGAAATCTAGCCCAGATCACTCCAGGGGACTAATCCCTGAATAATGTCCTTTGACACACACACATATTTTCTTATGTTTCTCTTGACCTTGGAACTGGTTAAAGACTGCACAGAATGTTCAATGAATTCTTACAGACTAGCAGAAAGAAATACCCGTCTCCATCCAAGATGCAGTTTTTTCCAAGATTAATTTTTTTTTTTGAAGTGGTCTTTCTATTGTTGGAAGGATGTCACAGTAAAATTGATAACCTTTCCTAGCTCGTTTTCTATTTCTCTCTGCTGCCTTTCAGTTTCTACAGTGTCCGTGGTCAAGGAGATCTGGATTGCTTTTGAATAACTGGCACAGAGTTCAGGAGGAACACAGACTGATTTAGTGGAATAAACCCTAGACTGGGAATTGGGAGAGCTGCTTCTGGCTTTATGGCCTTGGGTGTGACAGTTGCATTCTCTGGGCTTAAATCTTCTCATGTTAGAAGTTAAAATGATTAGAATGGTGTTTTTTTTTTCTTTTTTTTGGGGGGTGGGGCTTACTGGTCATTGAACCCAGGGGTGCTTTACTATACTGAGCTATACCCCCAGTCCTTTTTTATTTTTTATTTTGAAATGGTCTTGCTAAGCTTCCCGGGCTGACTGTGACTTGTGACCGTCCTGTCTAAGTCTCCCAAATTGCTGGGGTTACTGTGCCAGGCTCGAATGTTTCTGGAAAGGACCCTCCAGCTTGGTGGAGTTTTCCCCAGCTATAAAATGACCCCAACTGACTGTGGGTGGCAATAGTAACTGTTACCACCTCTGTTGGCTGGTGTAACTGTGTGACTATGCTTGAGTCACATATTCAGTATTAATTATCAGTGGGTATGTGTCACCAAGCGTTGCCAGAAGCCCCTGCTGTTTACCCATAGCTAACAACCTGACAGGACAGGGTCAGCAGCTGCTAGTTCACAGCCAGCTGAAAGGAACAGGGATACTTTGTAGGGGGGTTCGAGCAAGCAAGAAAAACAGGGATGGCTTTGAGTTGAACCTGTAGAAATCTCATTGCTGTTGGTTGCTGGTCGATGTCTACGCTGTAGCCTCACCGAGCTTAGGACGGCCTCCCTTTTCTCTCAGGCGGTGGTGTGTCCTGCAGCGACAGAACACAAATGCACAAAGCAGCACAGGGCACGGCTGGCCGGGCAGAGTGGGGCAGGAGTCGGCAGGGGCATCACTTTGTGTGCATCTCTTGCCTTGGGATGTCAGCTGTACTGACTGGCTCTGAGTGTTCCCTGAGCACTGCTGCTGTCTACTGTCCAGAGGCCTCGGAAATGAGCTAAATGGAAGCTCAGCTTCTTGGGCAATGGGACTTTTCTCTGGGACAGTGGTCCTCAGTGATCCGCGGACCAACAGCATGAGCATCAGATTCCCTCCCCTAATCTGGACCTATTGAATCAGACACTTCGGGTGGGGCTCATCAGTGTGTTTTAATACACCTTCCAGGGGATGACCGGGCATGGCCAAGTGTGGGGACCACCGTGCCAGGAGAGGGATCTGCAAATCCTGACTCAGGTTCCCGTGGGCTGAGGAGCCAGCAGCCACTCTCCTGTGGCCTAGGGTGTCAGGACCAGTCAGGAGCCTACCTAGAGTGAGAGCATGTTGCTCCCCACGATGGCCCCCTGGAAATCACCTTTGTGCAGTCTTATCCTGTTGCTGGGTTCACTGAGAAGGTATTTGTCTCCTCAGCCAAGACTGCCCAGGAGGAAGGTGGAAGGAAGGATATTTTTCCATATATCTTTCCAATAAGTCATATGAGGAAACTGAGGCTCAGAGTTCCCAAAGTCACGCTGATAGAAGTGACAGGGTCAGAATTTGGACCAGGTCTGTCTGCACCAAGAGCCCTTTTCCCACACCAGCTTGTACCCTGGAGGGGATGGGCATCCTCAGGAGCACCAGGAGGGTAGGGCCTGCCTCTCTGGGAGCCGGAGCCTTCTCTGAACTCTTGACCTTGCTGGGGGAGCCTCCAGCTAAGCCTCCCGAGGCTGCAGGTCCTCTCCTCACTGTCACCTGCCATCAGCACAGCAGGCGTCTCCTCTACTCTGCCGGATGCTTAGGTTCCTGTCAGGGATGTGGCAGCTGCCAGTCAATTAAGCCACAGCCTCGGCAGGCCTGAATGGTAGCCGAGGTGGTCAGGGTGCCAAGCAGACTGCAGGCGGAGGAGCTTCCCCAGCCCCCTCCTTGCCCTTTATTTGGATGCCCCTCACCATCCCAGGAGGGCCCTTTCCTCCCAGCAACCRCTCAGCTCGCCATGCAGCCCCTAGTTCTATGGTAACCTAGTTTAGCAAACAGGCCCAGAGTTTTATAAATAGCTGAATGGCAGGCCGGGAAGTGTCCTGTGCAACAAGACAGAACAGGCCTTCCCTGCTTCTGGAGCCATTTCCTGGGATCCTGGGATGGAAATGACTTTAGTGCAGATAAAGTCGAATGGCTCTCACTTCTGTGTCGGGGCTGCCCACTTGGTCTGGCTTCCACTCTTGGGCATGTGAGTGTCCCTCCAGTGCCCTGCCTTCGCTCAGCAGGGCTTCCAAGTCTGCTCCTGGGACGTTTCCTGTTCTTGGAACAGCTGCACCAGCCTGGGGTACCCTCCTGCTACTTGATCCTATAGGGAGGTGTCCAGTGGCTCTGGGTAATTTTCAAATGACCTTGTTCCTCTGACGTCATTAGGGAGCTATTTTTAGCTTTGCTGTTTATGCCACCAAAGTTGGGCTGGGGTGGGGGAGCAGGGGGAGTGAAGGAGGGGCTGGGCTTGGCTTTCCCTTGTCCCAGGCTCTACCAAAGTAGGAACATTAATTCTTCGACATTTACAAAGCACCTACTGAATGTCAGGCCCTGGAGCAGCCAACTTGATGACAATAGTCTAAATATTCTTCACTCTTGAATTTCTTTTTCTTTTTTTTTCTTTTTAAAATATTTTATTAGTTGTTGATGGACCTTTATTTATTTATATGTTGTGCTGAGACCTGAACCCAGTGCCTCACACATTCTAGGCAAGTGCTTTACCACTGAGCCACAACCCAGCCCCTTGAATTTATTTTTCTGTGGGCAATATTTTGTGTATTAGAGTGGAAATTAAGCATGAGGGCTCTGGCGCTAGACAGTTTGTGTTGAAATTCTGCCCCCCACCCCATTTACTTCTGAAACCTTGGGTAAGTTTCTCCTTGATTTCCCCTTGGAAATGGAAATGGTTATGGTCCCTGCCTCATAAGATTAAAGGAGCTCATACCTGTGACTGGCACAATAAATACACAATAACATCAGCAGTTTTAACTACCAATTACGGTAGCACCACGTAGTTTTGTGAGGTACAGAGCTGAATGACACCTGGCCTGTCTRTTCAGAGTTGACATCTGGGCTCGCAGAGTGTCAGCTATCCGGGGTGCACATAGCCCACACCAGTCAGAAGCAACACCTGCCATAGGCATCGCTTTATCCTGACTCAAGGGGGGTATTCAAGGGAAACCCAAAACATGGTTTCCCTCTTGGGAAAGACTCAGCAGTGGCTCTCAACCCTGAAGACATATCAGAATCCTCTGGGGAACTTTTAAAAAATCTGTACCAATCTCTAGATGCTCTGACTTAATTGGTCTGATCAGGAGGGGCTCAGATTACAGGAGCTGCCCATGCTCTCAGGTGTTTCCAGTATCACCTGGGCTGAGGAGGGCAGCCCTGACTAGGATATGTGTCCTCGGAGCTCTCCACAGGCTGCGCCCTTGTGACTTATCTAGACTGCCTCAAAACTGATCCTCTTCAAAGGCTCTCATGAGGTTTTCCAGCCACTGGCCTGGCAGTTCTCAAATTTGGGCCTGCATGAAAACCACCTGAAATGCTGGCCATAAAGATAATACTGGGCCCCGTTCCAAGCAGTCTTCATTTAAAGAAGATCTGTGGGGCTCAGGCACATGGCCCTGGGGGAGAATTTGAGTTCTCTGGGGGCCTGGGCCTCACCTTCCTCTGGGAAGTCATTCCAGACCCTCAGTTCCAAAGACTGCTTCCGAAATCCTCTGGCATTTCATAACTTCTTATCTTTCTGCCTGTTGATGTGTCCCTGTTGATGTTTTGATTTATTAATCTGATCATAGTTATAAAGGATCATTTTTTTATAAGTTGGAAAATCCAGGCAAATAAAGAATAGGAATCCTCTCCATTGCCACACTTCTTAATATGTACCTACATCTCTCCAGACATCTCTATAAATATTTTGAATAACGAGAAGTTCCTATTCCATGAAGGACTTCACAATCTTTTTTTTTTTTTAACCTAAAATGCAATAGATGGTGATCCTGTAGCCCTCCCCCAACTTCATTTCTGTGTCTCCAAGGTGGCTGGTTTAGTCCTGGCCAGAGTATTCAGTAAATAAAATCCTACAATTTTAGAACAGGACAGTGTGTCCATTGGACTTCCAGAGAATTCTGTGTCCAGTTTGCCACAGAGGGTGTCCACAGATCTCTGCCCACCAGCCTTAGCAGCAAGGACAGGGCTGCTCCAGGGGACGACAGCCTCATCTAGGGCTTTTCCAGAGACCCTAGAGGTACTGCCAGGACTTTGCACTCAGGGGCCCAAGGTGGGAGAGGGCCAGAGAACAGAACTTGCCAACGACACCCACGAGTGGCTCTCAGGTCAGGACCAGGCTGGAAGTTGCAGGAGAGTTGGCTGCTCTCTTTGGAGTCAGAGAGGTCGTTGCTCAACTCCTTGGATTTTCCATCACAGGGGAGCAGGGAAAGGGTCAGGGGGGGAAATGTCTCCTCTGAGCAGGTCCTTTTAAAGCCTTTTGGCTGGACCAATTTCCTCCTAGGAGCCAAGGAAACAGTGCCCGGGTGGAGTTAACCCCTCCACTGCGGATTAATTCTCAGAGGTGGACGGGCCTGGGAGCTCGGGCTCTTAGAAGGCAGAGCTACCCAGGGCAAGAGGCCTAAGGAGCCACGAACTCTGGCTGGAGAAACCTTCCCTCTGGCCTTGTTAAATCTAACAGGCATAATTGCATCCTGCTGACCTTAATTCCCCTGGCTGGTTTAATTGGTCCTGGCATTGCCCCACTTCCTGTCCTGCCCCTGTAGAGGCAGAGCTGGTGTAGGGCGGGGAAGCCCCTTCTAAGGGTGGGCAGGGGCTCTGGCAGCCCCTAGCTGAGTGGAGGAGGTTTCCCGGTGCCCCACCCCTGTGCCTCCAAGGGAGTGCTGAGAAGCAGCTTGGGGACTCCCATGGAGCAGCTGGCTGGAGCAAGCAATCCAGGGGATCGGGAGCCAGGCTGGCCTCCCATCCCAGCAGCAGGCACTGGCGAAGCGGGCAGGCACAGCTGAGCCCTCTACCTGAGGCGTCTACAGCATTATCAAGCCCCTAGTACCTGTGGCACCGTGCCCAACACTCCACACATGTGCTGGCTAAACACTCCCAGCTGCCTGGTGAGCAGGAGGCCATGGGGCACAGCAGTTCAGAGCCAAGTCTTGGGTTAGTTAGATGGTTTCAATCCTGACTGTGGCTTTGCACTGTGACTCAGTTTTCCTGCTGCATCTATGAAATGGGAATGAAATGGCTCATGTTGATAAAGCACATACTATGCTCCCCTGCACTGCTCAGAATGCTTTATAACCTTCCCCTGGGCAGATGCTCATCTAGAGACCTGGACACCCTCAAAAGCCCTTGTCTAAGATCACAGTTATAGGTCACAGAGCTTCATGGACAGCACCACTCACCTCTACTCAGCAGTTTTGTAAGGATTAAAAGGACACTTGTTACCCCAGTATCTGGCCCCTATTAGTAAAAGTTCAATTAAGTTTCATTTGGGAACTAAAACAGAAACAATAATAATTTTTAAAAGGTCACTTATGTTATCTAAGCCTGGATTTTTTGTCTTGTTTAGAGGCAGCTCTGGATTTGAATCTGGGTGATTTGAAGTCACTCACTAAGCTCTGTGACTCTGGAGACAAACTATTTATCCTCTCTAGCATCCATCAGTCTCAGCATCTTCAAAATGCTCCTAGCTGGCTGCGGTGGCRCCTGCCTGCAACCCAAGCTCCAAGGGGGGTTGAGGCAGGAGGATCACAAGTTTGATTGAGGCCAACCTGGGTGACTTAATGGGATCCCACCTCAAAATGAAAATTAAAAAAGGCCAGACATAGTGGCGCATGCCTGTAATCCCAGCAGCTCGGAAAACTGAGGCGGGAGGCTCGAGAGTTCAAAGCCAGCCTCAGCAGTGTCTGAGACCCTGTCTCAAAATAAAAAAATAAAAAGGGCTGGGGATGTGGCTCAGTGGTTAAGCACCCCTGGGTTCGCTACCTGGCACCAAAAAATTAAAAATAAATAAAAAGGACCAGGAATGTAGCTCAGTGGTAGAGCACTACTGGGTTCAATCCCTAGTACTGATAGATAGATAGATAGATAGATAGATAGATAGATAGATAGATAGATAGATAGATAGACAGATAGATAGATAGAGACAGAGAGAGAGAGAGAGAATGCTCTTGACACTTGGCCCTAGTGTCCCTCAGGAGGATCTGGCAGTCGGTCCAGCCTGGCCCTTAGTGGTCCTCACCCAGTACATGCCTGGTATTGATAACCACAATAATAACAAGGGGWTGTCAGCAGTGGCCGGCACAGTAATCCTAGTAATCCCACCCAAGGCCACTTCTCGCTGGTCACTCAGTTATTTAACAGTTATCAAACAGTGATTGGCAGGCACACTCTGTGCTGGGGACACACGTGAGCATCCCTGCCCAGATTGTCAGCCCACGCTGGATCAGCCTGGGGCACTGACAGGGGTTGGTTGCAGGGACATATCCAACATTTTGAGCTAAACTAGAACTTGCTGTGGAAACAAACAAACAGAAGGCTAGGAGGTCCCCTCATAGTCACGGACAGGAAGCATTTCCATCCTCAGAAAGTTATGAGTTCCACAGGGTGACCAGCAGGGAGAGGGGTGGAGGCACATTCTGGGAAAGTTTAGGGAGGAAAGAGGACTTTAGGCTTTGAAATAAGACATTCCTGCCTCAACTCCGTGTGTGTGTGTGTGTGTGTGTGTGTGTGTGTGTGTGTGCGTGCGCGCGCTTGTGTGTGTGCGTGCATGTGTGTTTGCAGAGCTGGCATTGAACCCAGGACCTTGCACATGTGCTAGGGGAGTGCTTTACCACTGAGCTACCTCCCTGCCATCCCTTCTTTGAGTGATTTTTTTTTTTTTTAGGTGAGCCACTCATTCCTTTAACTCTCCTTGTTCTCATCCGAAAAATGGAACAAATACTGCCAGTTATTATCAAGATGATGCGTAAAGACAGATGTGCCTCCATTTCCCCATCTATAAGAGCACCTACCTCATGGGGTTGTTATGAAGATCGCTCGCGTAAGCTCATCTACACAAGAGCACTGTGGCCTGGCCTGTGACAGGTGCTATGTGGGCATGAGTGACTTGGCTTCCTGGAAGAGGCAGGCTGTCAACTGAACAGAGAAGGGTGGGAGCAGAGGCCAGGCCTGGAATGGAGGGTCACACTGAGTCGACACTGCGGAGGGGGCTCCAGTTCTGGGTTTTTGCTAGTTTTATGTCAAGAACCTTTGACAAGCTGGCGCGGTGGCGCACACCTGTAATCCCAGAGGTTCAGGAGGCGGAGGCAGGAGGACGGCAAGTTCAAAGCCAGCCTCAGAACTTAGCAAGGCTCTAAGCAACTTAGACTCTGTCTGCAAATAAAAAAAAATAAAAGTCCTGGGGATGTGGCTCAGTGGTAAATCCCCCCACTCCGGGTTCAATCCCAACTACCAAAAAATAAATAAAGGAAACCTCATGTATTATCCCCCGGCCGTTCTGCACACGCCATGGCTCACTCTTGCTGCCACTCTGCACCTTGCTCTTGGTGCCACCTCRGAAACAAAACACGGAGGTTCAGGAACGGCTTCCTCCACCCCCTGCATAGGCATGGATTGCCTCGCCGCCTAGGAGCCAGGCCTTCTCCCTCCTGGCTTTCCCTCCCTCGCCCACCTGGGCAGTGGCTGTTGCCTTTGTTGGATGGGGGAGCCGAGGCCACGGTGTGGGTGGGGTGGCCAGATCAGGGTGCCGCAGAGGAAGTCTGGGTAGCAGCCCCCGGGCGAGGGCAGGCTCCTCAGAGCACAGCTCTCCCTGTCTCAGCCCCAACACCTCAGACCAGGCCGTCCCTCAGGTCCCCACCGAAGTGAAGCATCCTTGAAAAGCCTCTGCCAGCTTCCTTCTTCCAGGTGGGACATCAGAGAGAACTGGCCCTGCGCAGGAGAGGGGCCCAGGGCACTGACCAGCTCCCGTGGCCGCTCAGCCAGCCTTCACCATCCCTTTTATCTAAGGAAAAAGCTTTCTGGCCTAGGGACATGTGGAGCAGGTACCCCTGAGACGATTCTTACCCAAAGATGGTCCGATAGGTCCAGAGCCAGAGGCACAGAGCGGGGTACTTGGGTCAGGTGATTGTCCCTGGACCTGCGGGCTTTCCTCAGATTCTGGGGGACCTAGGAGTTGTAGCAGGCAGGTGGCAGAGTTGGGCTGGGCCTGGGTGTCGTTCTGCCCTTCAGCCCTGCCTGGGAGCCCCTTTCCTGCCAGGGTCCCCCTCTGGTCTTGACCAAGTCAGGGGTACTGGGCAAGGCCTGGGAAAGGGCTGCTCCCCCGGGGCCCCCTGGGGCCCCCTCCCTTTTCTCTTCCTGCTTATTCCACACCATTCTCCCCCCAGCCAGGCCGTGGGAAGAATGCCGTGTCCTCTGAACGGGGGCCAAGAGTGACAGGTGGTGGCAGCCTGGGCTACATGGCCCCTGGTGTAAGAGATCCTCTTCTCCGTCCCCGCCTCCACTGCCCGTGCCCCTGCCTCCGCCTCTGCCCACCGGGCCCAATCCCTTACAACCTCCCCAGAACTCTTCCCGAGCAGCCGCTGCGAGACAGGCAGCCACCAGGTTGCCCCTCTCTGCTCCAGGTACGTCTCTACCCTCAAGTCAGCTGGCCTTGGCCTCCTCTGGCCACAGCCAGACCACAGGAGGTATTCACTAGCTCGACATACCTCACTCTTCTTTCTGCAGCTAGAAAGACTTGAGTTAGACAAACAGAAGCACACACCTCCCTACACCTCATGGCGACAGAAAACGGAGCAGTGGAGCTGGGAATCCAGAGCCCATCAACAGGTGCCAAGCTGGGGCCGAAGATGGAGGGAGGAGCTTGGGAAGGGGTGTATGAATCCAAGGCTGGGCAGTTCCTCGGAGGGAGTTCTGTGCCGAAGTTTCTTTGCATGGTGCATGGGGATTCAGACATCAGGATGATCTGTGGGTAGGGTTGGGCTGGGTCCAGGGCCTGCAGGAAGCCCTTCCTGGAGAGACCAGGAGGTGTGAAGCCACCGTGGATGGCTCCTGGGGACCCACTTACACACCTTAGGCAAGGGGTGGAGGGAGGGACAGCAAGGCCCACCCAAAGGGACAGAGCCTCCCACGGAGGCCTCCGAGGTCCTGGCACTCATTTCTAGGGCCCACCAAGCGGCCCCTAGGCCCAGTGGGGCCAGCATTTGCAAGCCATTTCCTAGTGGAGACCTGAGCCCAGAACTGGTCTCTGCCCAGCTGACTGGGGAGGGAGGACCAGGAGGGCGGGTCCTGATGGGTGTCTCACCTCCTTTGCAGAAGAGGCACCCACAGGTGCTGCAGGTGAAGGACCTCCGGCTGCAGAGAAGGACCCTGGCCCCCCAGACCCCAAGAAAGATCCTGACCCATGCCCCCCAAAGGGAGATACCAAAGCCCCCACCCCAGAGAAAGGGGACGGTGCCCCCGCGCAACCCTCAGCCGGCAGCCAGGGCCCCGGGGGAGAGGGGGATGGGGGCGGGGGGCCYGCCGAGGGCAGTGCTGGGCAGCCGGCAGCCCTGCCCCAGCAGACGGCGACGGCCGAGGCCAGTGTCAAGAAGTCCAGGGAAGAGCAGGGACCCTCGGGCAGCCAGGGCCCCGAAGAGCCCAAGGTGGGCAAGAAGGCAGCCGAGGGCCAGGCCGCCGCCAGGAGGGGCTCCCCGGCCTTTCTGCACAGCCCCAGCTGCCCCGCGGCCATCTCCAGGTGAACACCCTCTGCCTGGGAGTGGGGAGGGGGCGGTGGCTCTGATCCCRGGGTCATGCTCAGGTCCCCTAGCTGGCCAGGATATCATCATCTTCGGTTCCRGGAGGGGAGTTCTGAGGTCCAGGTCCCTCTGTCCTGGGCATTGGTTAAACATCTCGTCCCTGCACAAACCAGACCTRGAATGTTAGGTGGGAGCTATCCCCAAAGACCACCTAGGCTGAATTTTTCTTTCCTTTTCTAGGCATCTGGGGTCAAGAGTCCCCCTTATTCCGTGGACTTAGGTCTGGCCAAGACCTTGGGGGAAAGGATAATCCTTCTTATTCTAATTTTACTGGTGTAATATGAAAAGATGACTGATAGATTGGTAGTCAATGCTAATACTTTGGTAACCATCATTCAGCACAGGTCCCGTGTTGCGTCAGTTGTGTACACCTGAAGTCATTCCTGATACGTTGCCATCCACAGTGACCACACCATAGCAATCTGATAATCATGTAATGTCAATTTCATGGTCACAGTTTTTAAGAATCACGATCTACTTAACTGGGTGAGGTGGTACCTGTCTGTAATCCCAGCTACTTTGGGAGGCTGAAGGAGGAAGATGGCAAGTTTAAGGCCAGCCTGGACAATTTATTGAGGCCCTGTTTCAAAAGAAAAAAGAAAAAGGATTGGAGATGAGGCTCAGCGGTAGAATGTTTGGCTGGCCTGCTAGAGGCTCTGGGCTCCATCCCTAGGACCCCCCTTCCCAGCTCCATAGCTCCTTAGCTGTATCTACATGATATCAGCAACCCATTCATAGTTAACAATGACCTAGTAGTGGGTTGATGGTCAAGGTAATGACCATTCCTTGATTTTGCACAAAGTGAATTTGGAAGTATTTGGGGGCAGGGGTGGGCACTGCAGGTGAGGTAGGTTCTGGAAGCGTGGAGCCGAGGCGCAGGGTGGCGGCTGCCGGGAGCGTCAACTCTGTTCTCACTTCCTAGCTCTGAGAAGCCACTCGTGGAGAAGCCCCCGAGCGAGGTGCCAGAGCTCATCTTTGAAGGGGTGCCGGTGACCCCTGACCCCACAGATCCTGGGCCAGCCAAGGCAGAAGGAGGGAAGAGCATCCAGGCAGGGAGCCAGAAGGAAGCCGGAGACAAAGCCCCGGGCCAGGCTGGCCAGGCTAAGGTGCAAGGGGACACCTCGAGGGGGATCGAGTTCCAGGCTGTTCCCTCAGAGAGATCGGAGGTGGGGCAGGCCCTCTGTCTGACAGCCAGGGAAGAGGACTGCTTCCAGATTTTGGGTAGGCCAGGGGCAGGCGGACTGGGGTTGCCCTAGAGGTGGGGGGAGGGGAGGGACCCATCAGTCCCAAGAGTCCCCATTCAGGGGACTGAAAGGCCCTGAGCCATGCCCCACCCAGGCCCACCAGACTGAATGTTCACAGCCTCAGGAAGTATTTCCTCTGGATAGAAATGGAAGAGAGGAAGCCAAGCGCCCTGCAGCATAAGCGAAGGYGGCCTGACTCCCAATTTAGATTTTATTCTACTTTGACTAAAATGAAGTAAAAGAAAAAAGAAAGAAAGAAAGAAAAAAAGTCAGGCAGGTTATTAGAGCAAGAACCTGCAGCGCAGTGTGGCTTGAGGGTCAATCTGGACCAGGGCTCAAACGCCCGGCTTTGGTCAACTACAGGTTGGGGGGAAGGGCTTCTGGGAGCCATAGAGRGTTCATGAGCTGAGGAGCACCGGTGTCTGTGTGTGGGACCAGGGACCACGGAACTGTGCATGAGATGGGGCAGGACTGCGGACAAGGAGCCAGGGGCGATTGTGAGTGGGCAGCAGAGAGCCCTGAGTCTGAGTGGACCTGGGGAGCGGGCGAAGACGGAAAGGGCCCGGACAGGGACGCTACAGGGCTGGGGTGGGTGAGATGGGGTCAGGAGAGCCCAGTGTCCGGACGCCACCCGCACCCCCTCCCGGCCGAGGTGCCCCGGGAGACCCGCCAGCCTGCCTGGTGAGCGGCACAGTGCCACCCAGACTGGGTGGGAGGACCTGGCGGCTGGGCGGCGGCCAGCAGCCCTGCCTCCTGCCCCCAGCGGTGGCACAGACCTCCGTCCCCCCCGCCCCGCCCTGAGATCACATCCTCGGCGAGACGGGACCTGAACCTCCTCCAAGGGCCGTCTGATTTATCACCGGCCGGCTTCCCTGCCCCTCCTGCTATTTATAAAGAGGTTTCCATTCCCCATGACTCAGCCCGCAGGCCCGCGGGGCCCGCAGTTCCCCATGGGGACGCTAGGTGGCGCCATCCCCCCACCGAACTGCTCCGCCCGGGTCCGGGTGGCGAGATCAGCCGCGAGGGAGGGCAGGTCCCAGCCCCAACCAGCAGCCCCAGTGTCTGGGATTCCACTTGGCGGCTGCTGTACTGGTTGTTTTAATAGAAACAAAGACACTTGGGGATGGAGTACCCGGCCTTACAAAGTAGGAAGGTCCCAGAAGTCCTATCAGCTCTCCCATGGTCCTGCCSGGGCACACTGGATTCTTCCAAGATTATTTTAGGTGTCCTGGAACAGGAAATTGGAAACTGGGCCCCTAGCACCTCTCCTGGTGTCCCAGTGATCATTCAGTGAATTTAC